ACACACGCTGGCACCGAAACAAGGCATTGCCGCAGGAAGTGCAATGAGCCCTGTGACTTACTCGTTGGACAAACCAAGAGCAATCGAGTGAGTTCTGCAATGGGGAATGACTAATGATCGAACATGAGGGCGAACTGAGTACAGAAGGTTGAGTCTCCGCGACTACACGAGATACTGAACGCCTGTCCAACAGCAAACGGGAAGGGGGAGATGAAGTTATGCTAACAGCAAGAAACAAGTTTTTCTCCCCCTTGCAGAAACTGTCTATGGGAGGAACTTCAATGCTGCGGGTCGTTTCGGCAGTCGGACCGAAAATCAGACAGGTGACTCGCTGACCATTACCTTCCCTCGCCAAGCGGTAAGAATGAAGCATGAAGTTTGAATCGCTCATTCTATCAAAAACAAGAAGCTCGTAGGGTCCTAGGTAAACTGGTAAACGCCTCATCAGGTCAACTTGTGAGTTCAACAAAAGCTAAGGGTGCGCATTGAACTGTTCGCCCATTTAAGAAGAGGGTTGTCAGGGCTAAGCGACGAAGGATCTGTTGAGAGCCCTCTATTTGACACGGTGGTACGGTGACCTACAAAACGACGAGAAGAGTCGGGCGTGCACGTACAGTCACAATCTGTTGATTGTGTCAGGGACGATCCATTCGTTTGACTGGCTGGTTCCGTGAAGGCTCAAACCCTTGTGCCTAGCATGATCGTTTGATTCGTCAATTTCATTTCGTTTAATTGAAATTGTTCTGTCCCTTTTGCTTGTCTGAGGGGCTTTTACGAACAAGGCAATGCTACAGAGTGTGCAGCACGTGTGAACCGGCGGGGGGGAAGAGTTTCCAAACTCAGTAAATCAGCGGTGATTTCACCTTATGGGCGCGGGGGCTGTCTGTCGGACTACTCCTAGTCGAAAACATTGTTTACTAGTGTGATCAAACCTTGCTCTGGGGTGTCGAAACTTGCAAATCTGGGCTAAGTCCATGACTCATTCACGCTCTCGCATAGCCATGGCCGCATGCCCGTAAGGGGAAGTCTCAGATCTGTAAGCAAAAAAAAAAATCGGAGCGCTTTATTAGAGTCAAAACTTTCATCAGGAGCATTTTGATTGAGCCCACATTGTCATGGAATTCGCATGATCGGTTGAGGGCTCCAAGAGCGTCAGTAAAAGAAGCCCGCGTGATTTTCAGTTACAGGGCCCATGACGGACTGTTCTTCCCCAGATCCCTGCTGGTCGATGAGGACCTCGAAAGCGGGCGCAGTGAGTGACAGGCATTGTAGCCCTTGGCTTCAGTGAACGGTAGGTGACCCCTCCCCGGGTTTCCTTACACCGTGACCCACCGTGCCTCATCCCCGGACATCCCAAATCGTAGGTCGGACAATTCCCCCGCGGCCGTCTATAATCTCATGAACCGGGGGGCCTTTCGAAATTTCGAATTTCAAGCAGGGCGATTTCGGTGTTCGTGATTTTCAGTTACACGGCCCATGACGTATTGGGGGCTGTCCGCCTGCTGGACCGGTGCCTCATGGCCCGACATAGCAAAAAGGAGGTCGGACAATCCCCCGCGGCCATCTATAATCTCATGAAAGAAGGGCCCCGAGGATTTGTCCGAGGAGAGGTGGAAAGACACCTCCAAAAACCACAGAAATAGAACGACGCCACCAAAAACCACCAAAATCCTGAGGAGTGTCTAACGACGCCCTTGGGGCGGGCATTAGGCTTGCTGGGCGTCGCAGCCCTGCATGTCTGCTAAGGGCCCCGCGAGGGCTCATTCCTCGCACTACTACCGTCTTCCCCCGAACACAACGCAACCTCATTTTGACTGTACCGGGCAGGAAACATACCTTGTATACGTTCATATTGAGGGTGCGTTATGTTCGAGGGAAGACGGTAGTCTAGCATGGTTTATCTATTGTGTATCATATTGTATCCTAAACATAGTTTATCTATTGTGTATCGTATTGTATCCTAGACTACCGTCGGCCCCCGAATATAACGCACCCTGAGCCTGAGTGTATACAAGCTATCTTTCCCGTCCGGTGCGTTGTTTTGGGGGAAGACGGCAGTCTGTCGAAATACAACCTATTTTCGGCTTTGGTACAGTCACAATGAGATGGTGCGTTCTATTCGGGGGATGGGTGGCAGACACAGAGATCTCGCACTTTATACAGACCTTCACATGGCCACACCGTTTGTCCACGTGCCTGCCACAACAGATCTCCACCTGCCTCCCCTGTATGTCCAGGTGGCAGTTTCATCACACGGCTAAGCTGCCTGTATGTCCACGTGGCAGTTTCATCACACGGCTAAGCTGCCGCAGTATATGTCCACGTGGTCGCAGCTCACATGTCCCACACGCGGTCACAGCACAGCTGTCCACGTCACCACAGTTCAGATGTCAACGTGGCCGTGTGTTGGTCACACGGCCGCATAATGGACACGTCATATTTTTTTTGTTTTGACTGGAAAAAAAAAAAGCCGGCCCTAATAGAAAAAAGAAAAAAATACCACCAATGATTGCTCGAAAATTGCACTATTACCAACGGGCCTAGCTCTGAATTAACTGGGGCTAGTCAGTTCTATGATGATATCTCAAGGCCGTCACCTGCATAAAAAAAAAGAAGAGAAAGAAAAGGGAAAAAGAAAACAAAAGAAATTGCACGATTTTCGGTGCTGCCACGTTCCTTCTCCCCCCGCCTCATCATGATGAATGCATAAGGCCATGTTTCCGGTCGGGTGCGTACTTCCATGATGACGGTGCCGTTGTCTTTAGGGGAAGATGCCCCCGTCTTCACCCGAGCAGAACGCACTGCCATTATCACTGTATATAGACGGAAAGTTGTCCAAAACACAGCTGTCATTACAGTGAGTTCTATTCGGGGGAGGATGCGAGCAGTGACATCGTGTAATTTTCTTTATCAACAGAGAGCATCTTGCAAGCACAATGGGCGAGAGCCAAATGGCAGCAATCCAATTTGCAATAGCACATTGAAAGCCAGATAGCACCAGCCACCTTGCATCCAAAAAAAAAAAAGAGAAAAGGCCATGTATCAGTCGGGATGATGCGTCTTATACAAATGTACAACACACCAAAGCTCTAATGTGTGTGACACATTCATTCAGTATGTCATCGAGCATACTCGTTGACAAGAGGAACAGACGGTAAGCCTGGCATTAAAAATTCTTCACTATCTTGTATAAGATACCACTAATCAGATGGAAGGCGTGATACGATCACCATCATCATCCGGCCCCCAAAACAAACCTGGATGAGCCATTATAGAGGACGGATTAACTGTCAAATCGTGGAGTCAGGGTGCACCACGGACAGTTTACCCGATGGGACAGATGGATTTCGCATGACTGTGGTAAATCCCACGGACAGATTTAAACTCCCTACCTTTTTTTCTTACACGACTCCTGAGGAAACTAACCCTCTCAGAACAACAGGGCATTGGCAGCCCTGTCCACTCTCATCGTTTGATACCTACTGACGAGGGGCCCGACTGCTTTTTAGAATGGTCTCAAGTCAGGTGTTCCCCCCCTCCTCTGCCAGTGTAAGCTTTTGTGATTGTTATTTTCTCAAAGGAGAAAAGAAAGGGGAGGGG